GGCCCTGGCCTGGCCTGGCCTGGCCTGGCCTGGCCTGGCCTGGCCTGGCCTGGCCTGGCCTGGCCTGGCCTGGCCTGGCCTGGCCTGGCCTGGCCTGGCCTGGCCTGGCCTGGCCTGGCCTGGCCTGGCCTGGCCTGGCCTGGCCTGGCCTGGCCTGGCCTGGCCTGGCCTGGCCTGGCCTGGCCTGGCCTGGCCTGGCCTGGCCTGGCCTGGCCTGGCCTGGCCTGGCCTGGCCTGGCCTGGCCTGGCCTGGCCTGGCCTGGCCTGGCCTGGCCTGGCCTGGCCTGGCCTGGCCTGGCCTGGCCTGGCCTGGCCTGGCCTGGCCTGGCCTGGCCTGGCCTGGCCTGGCCTGGCCTGGCCTGGCCTGGCCTGGCCTGGCCTGGCCTGGCCTGGCCTGGCCTGGCCTGGCCTGGCCTGGCCTGGCCTGGCCTGGCCTGGCCTGGCCTGGCCTGGCCTGGCCTGGCCTGGCCTGGCCTGGCCTGGCCTGGCCTGGCCTGGCCTGGCCTGGCCTGGCCTGGCCTGGCCTGGCCTGGCCTGGCCTGGCCTGGCCTGGCCTGGCCTGGCCTGGCCTGGCCTGGCCTGGCCTGGCCTGGCCTGGCCTGGCCTGGCCTGGCCTGGCCTGGCCTGGCCTGGCCTGGCCTGGCCTGGCCTGGCCTGGCCTGGCCTGGCCTGGCCTGGCCTGGCCTGGCCTGGCCTGGCCTGGCCTGGCCTGGCCTGGCCTGGCCTGGCCTGGCCTGGCCTGGCCTGGCCTGGCCTGGCCTGGCCTGGCCTGGCCTGGCCTGGCCTGGCCTGGCCTGGCCTGGCCTGGCCTGGCCTGGCCTGGCCTGGCCTGGCCTGGCCTGGCCTGGCCTGGCCTGGCCTGGCCTGGCCTGGCCTGGCCTGGCCTGGCCTGGCCTGGCCTGGCCTGGCCTGGCCTGGCCTGGCCTGGCCTGGCCTGGCCTGGCCTGGCCTGGCCTGGCCTGGCCTGGCCTGGCCTGGCCTGGCCTGGCCTGGCCTGGCCTGGCCTGGCCTGGCCTGGCCTGGCCTGGCCTGGCCTGGCCTGGCCTGGCCTGGCCTGGCCTGGCCTGGCCTGGCCTGGCCTGGCCTGGCCTGGCCTGGCCTGGCCTGGCCTGGCCTGGCCTGGCCTGGCCTGGCCTGGCCTGGCCTGGCCTGGCCTGGCCTGGCCTGGCCTGGCCTGGCCTGGCCTGGCCTGGCCTGGCCTGGCCTGGCCTGGCCTGGCCTGGCCTGGCCTGGCCTGGCCTGGCCTGGCCTGGCCTGGCCTGGCCTGGCCTGGCCTGGCCTGGCCTGGCCTGGCCTGGCCTGGCCTGGCCTGGCCTGGCCTGGCCTGGCCTGGCCTGGCCTGGCCTGGCCTGGCCTGGCCTGGCCTGGCCTGGCCTGGCCTGGCCTGGCCTGGCCTGGCCTGGCCTGGCCTGGCCTGGCCTGGCCTGGCCTGGCCTGGCCTGGCCTGGCCTGGCCTGGCCTGGCCTGGCCTGGCCTGGCCTGGCCTGGCCTGGCCTGGCCTGGCCTGGCCCTGGCCTGGCCTGGCCTGGCCTGGCCTGGCCTGGCCTGGCCTGGCCTGGCCTGGCCTGGCCTGGCCTGGCCTGGCCTGGCCTGGCCTGGCCTGGCCTGGCCTGGCCTGGCCTGGCCTGGCCTGGCCTGGCCTGGCCTGGCCTGGCCTGGCCTGGCCTGGCCTGGCCTGGCCTGGCCTGGCCTGGCCTGGCCTGGCCTGGCCTGGCCTGGCCTGGCCTGGCCTGGCCTGGCCTGGCCTGGCCTGGCCTGGCCTGGCCTGGCCTGGCCTGGCCTGGCCTGGCCTGGCCTGGCCTGGCCTGGCCTGGCCTGGCCTGGCCTGGCCTGGCCTGGCCTGGCCTGGCCTGGCCTGGCCTGGCCTGGCCTGGCCTGGCCTGGCCTGGCCTGGCCTGGCCTGGCCTGGCCTGGCCTGGCCTGGCCTGGCCTGGCCTGGCCTGGCCCTGGCCTGGCCTGGCCTGGCCTGGCCTGGCCTGGCCTGGCCTGGCCTGGCCTGGCCTGGCCTGGCCTGGCCTGGCCTGGCCTGGCCTGGCCTGGCCTGGCCTGGCCTGGCCTGGCCTGGCCTGGCCTGGCCTGGCCTGGCCTGGCCTGGCCTGGCCTGGCCTGGCCTGGCCTGGCCTGGCCTGGCCTGGCCTGGCCTGGCCTGGCCTGGCCTGGCCTGGCCTGGCCCTGGCCTGGCCTGGCCTGGCCTGGCCTGGCCTGGCCTGGCCTGGCCTGGCCTGGCCTGGCCTGGCCTGGCCTGGCCTGGCCTGGCCTGGCCTGGCCTGGCCTGGCCTGGCCTGGCCTGGCCTGGCCTGGCCTGGCCTGGCCTGGCCTGGCCTGGCCTGGCCTGGCCTGGCCTGGCCTGGCCTGGCCTGGCCTGGCCTGGCCTGGCCTGGCCTGGCCTGGCCTGGCCTGGCCTGGCCTGGCCTGGCCTGGCCTGGCCTGGCCTGGCCTGGCCTGGCCTGGCCTGGCCTGGCCTGGCCTGGCCTGGCCTGGCCTGGCCTGGCCTGGCCTGGCCTGGCCTGGCCTGGCGGCCTGGCCTGGCCTGGCCTGGCCTGGCCTGGCCTGGCCTGGCCTGGCCTGGCCTGGCCTGGCCTGGCCTGGCCTGGCCTGGCCTGGCCTGGCCTGGCCTGGCCTGGCCTGGCCTGGCCTGGCCTGGCCTGGCCTGGCCTGGCCTGGCCTGGCCTGGCCTGGCCTGGCCTGGCCTGGCCTGGCCTGGCCTGGCCTGGCCTGGCCTGGCCTGGCCTGGCCTGGCCTGGCCTGGCCTGGCCTGGCCTGGCCTGGCCTGGCCTGGCCTGGCCTGGCCTGGCCTGGCCTGGCCTGGCCTGGCCTGGCCTGGCCTGGCCTGGCCTGGCCTGGCCTGGCCTGGCCTGGCCTGGCCTGGCCTGGCCTGGCCTGGCCTGGCCTGGCCTGGCCTGGCCTGGCCTGGCCTGGCCTGGCCTGGCCTGGCCTGGCCTGGCCTGGCCTGGCCTGGCCTGGCCTGGCCTGGCCTGGCCTGGCCTGGCCTGGCCTGGCCTGGCCTGGCCTGGCCTGGCCTGGCCTGGCCTGGCCTGGCCTGGCCTGGCCTGGCCTGGCCTGGCCTGGCCTGGCCTGGCCTGGCCTGGCCTGGCCTGGCCTGGCCTGGCCTGGCCTGGCCTGGCCTGGCCTGGCCTGGCCTGGCCTGGCCTGGCCTGGCCTGGCCTGGCCTGGCCTGGCCTGGCCTGGCCTGGCCTGGCCTGGCCTGGCCTGGCCTGGCCTGGCCTGGCCTGGCCTGGCCTGGCCTGGCCTGGCCTGGCCTGGCCTGGCCTGGCCTGGCCTGGCCTGGCCTGGCCTGGCCTGGCCTGGCCTGGCCTGGCCTGGCCTGGCCTGGCCTGGCCTGGCCTGGCCTGGCCTGGCCTGGCCTGGCCTGGCCTGGCCTGGCCTGGCCTGGCCTGGCCTGGCCTGGCCTGGCCTGGCCTGGCCTGGCCTGGCCTGGCCTGGCCTGGCCTGGCCTGGCCTGGCCTGGCCTGGCCTGGCCTGGCCTGGCCTGGCCTGGCCTGGCCTGGCCTGGCCTGGCCTGGCCTGGCCTGGCCTGGCCTGGCCTGGCCTGGCCTGGCCTGGCCTGGCCTGGCCTGGCCTGGCCTGGCCTGGCCTGGCCTGGCCTGGCCTGGCCTGGCCTGGCCTGGCCTGGCCTGGCCTGGCCTGGCCTGGCCTGGCCTGGCCTGGCCTGGCCTGGCCTGGCCTGGCCTGGCCTGGCCTGGCCTGGCCTGGCCTGGCCTGGCCTGGCCTGGCCTGGCCTGGCCTGGCCTGGCCTGGCCTGGCCTGGCCTGGCCTGGCCTGGCCTGGCCTGGCCTGGCCTGGCCTGGCCTGGCCTGGCCTGGCCTGGCCTGGCCTGGCCTGGCCTGGCCTGGCCTGGCCTGGCCTGGCCTGGCCTGGCCTGGCCTGGCCTGGCCTGGCCTGGCCTGGCCTGGCCTGGCCTGGCCTGGCCTGGCCTGGCCTGGCCTGGCCTGGCCTGGCCTGGCCTGGCCTGGCCTGGCCTGGCCTGGCCTGGCCTGGCCTGGCCTGGCCTGGCCTGGCCTGGCCTGGCCTGGCCTGGCCTGGCCTGGCCTGGCCTGGCCTGGCCTGGCCTGGCCTGGCCTGGCCTGGCCTGGCCTGGCCTGGCCTGGCCTGGCCTGGCCTGGCCTGGCCTGGCCTGGCCTGGCCTGGCCTGGCCTGGCCTGGCCTGGCCTGGCCTGGCCTGGCCTGGCCTGGCCTGGCCTGGCCTGGCCTGGCCTGGCCTGGCCTGGCCTGGCCTGGCCTGGCCTGGCCTGGCCTGGCCTGGCCTGGCCTGGCCTGGCCTGGCCTGGCCTGGCCTGGCCTGGCCTGGCCTGGCCTGGCCTGGCCTGGCCTGGCCTGGCCTGGCCTGGCCTGGCCTGGCCTGGCCTGGCCTGGCCTGGCCTGGCCTGGCCTGGCCTGGCCTGGCCTGGCCTGGCCTGGCCTGGCCTGGCCTGGCCTGGCCTGGCCTGGCCTGGCCTGGCCTGGCCTGGCCTGGCCTGGCCTGGCCTGGCCTGGCCTGGCCTGGCCTGGCCTGGCCCTGGCCTGGCCTGGCCTGGCCTGGCCTGGCCTGGCCTGGCCTGGCCTGGCCTGGCCTGGCCTGGCCTGGCCTGGCCTGGCCTGGCCTGGCCTGGCCTGGCCTGGCCTGGCCTGGCCTGGCCTGGCCTGGCCTGGCCTGGCCTGGCCTGGCCTGGCCTGGCCTGGCCTGGCCTGGCCTGGCCTGGCCTGGCCTGGCCTGGCCTGGCCTGGCCTGGCCTGGCCTGGCCTGGCCTGGCCTGGCCTGGCCTGGCCTGGCCTGGCCTGGCCTGGCCTGGCCTGGCCTGGCCTGGCCTGGCCTGGCCTGGCCTGGCCTGGCCTGGCCTGGCCTGGCCTGGCCTGGCCTGGCCTGGCCTGGCCTGGCCTGGCCTGGCCTGGCCTGGCCTGGCCTGGCCTGGCCTGGCCTGGCCTGGCCTGGCCTGGCCTGGCCTGGCCTGGCCTGGCCTGGCCTGGCCTGGCCTGGCCTGGCCTGGCCTGGCCTGGCCTGGCCTGGCCTGGCCTGGCCTGGCCTGGCCTGGCCTGGCCTGGCCTGGCCTGGCCTGGCCTGGCCTGGCCTGGCCTGGCCTGGCCTGGCCTGGCCTGGCCTGGCCTGGCCTGGCCTGGCCTGGCCTGGCCTGGCCTGGCCTGGCCTGGCCTGGCCTGGCCTGGCCTGGCCTGGCCTGGCCTGGCCTGGCCTGGCCTGGCCTGGCCTGGCCTGGCCTGGCCTGGCCTGGCCTGGCCTGGCCTGGCCTGGCCTGGCCTGGCCTGGCCTGGCCTGGCCTGGCCTGGCCTGGCCTGGCCTGGCCTGGCCTGGCCTGGCCTGGCCTGGCCTGGCCTGGCCTGGCCTGGCCTGGCCTGGCCTGGCCTGGCCTGGCCTGGCCTGGCCTGGCCTGGCCTGGCCTGGCCTGGCCTGGCCTGGCCTGGCCTGGCCTGGCCTGGCCTGGCCTGGCCTGGCCTGGCCTGGCCTGGCCTGGCCTGGCCTGGCCTGGCCTGGCCTGGCCTGGCCTGGCCTGGCCTGGCCTGGCCTGGCCTGGCCTGGCCTGGCCTGGCCTGGCCTGGCCTGGCCTGGCCTGGCCTGGCCTGGCCTGGCCTGGCCTGGCCTGGCCTGGCCTGGCCTGGCCTGGCCTGGCCTGGCCTGGCCTGGCCTGGCCTGGCCTGGCCTGGCCTGGCCTGGCCTGGCCTGGCCTGGCCTGGCCTGGCCTGGCCTGGCCTGGCCTGGCCTGGCCTGGCCTGGCCTGGCCTGGCCTGGCCTGGCCTGGCCTGGCCTGGCCTGGCCTGGCCTGGCCTGGCCTGGCCTGGCCTGGCCTGGCCTGGCCTGGCCTGGCCTGGCCTGGCCTGGCCTGGCCTGGCCTGGCCTGGCCTGGCCTGGCCTGGCCTGGCCTGGCCTGGCCTGGCCTGGCCTGGCCTGGCCTGGCCTGGCCTGGCCTGGCCTGGCCTGGCCTGGCCTGGCCTGGCCTGGCCTGGCCTGGCCTGGCCTGGCCTGGCCTGGCCTGGCCTGGCCTGGCCTGGCCTGGCCTGGCCTGGCCTGGCCTGGCCTGGCCTGGCCTGGCCTGGCCTGGCCTGGCCTGGCCTGGCCTGGCCTGGCCTGGCCTGGCCTGGCCTGGCCTGGCCTGGCCTGGCCTGGCCTGGCCTGGCCTGGCCTGGCCTGGCCTGGCCTGGCCTGGCCTGGCCTGGCCTGGCCTGGCCTGGCCTGGCCTGGCCTGGCCTGGCCTGGCCTGGCCTGGCCTGGCCTGGCCTGGCCTGGCCTGGCCTGGCCTGGCCTGGCCTGGCCTGGCCTGGCCTGGCCTGGCCTGGCCTGGCCTGGCCTGGCCTGGCCTGGCCTGGCCTGGCCTGGCCTGGCCTGGCCTGGCCTGGCCTGGCCTGGCCTGGCCTGGCCTGGCCTGGCCTGGCCTGGCCTGGCCTGGCCTGGCCTGGCCTGGCCTGGCCTGGCCTGGCCTGGCCTGGCCTGGCCTGGCCTGGCCTGGCCTGGCCTGGCCTGGCCTGGCCTGGCCTGGCCTGGCCTGGCCTGGCCTGGCCTGGCCTGGCCTGGCCTGGCCTGGCCTGGCCTGGCCTGGCCTGGCCTGGCCTGGCCTGGCCTGGCCTGGCCTGGCCTGGCCTGGCCTGGCCTGGCCTGGCCTGGCCTGGCCTGGCCTGGCCCTGGCCTGGCCTGGCCTGGCCTGGCCTGGCCTGGCCTGGCCTGGCCTGGCCTGGCCTGGCCTGGCCTGGCCTGGCCTGGCCTGGCCTGGCCTGGCCTGGCCTGGCCTGGCCTGGCCTGGCCTGGCCTGGCCTGGCCTGGCCTGGCCTGGCCTGGCCTGGCCTGGCCTGGCCTGGCCTGGCCTGGCCTGGCCTGGCCTGGCCTGGCCTGGCCTGGCCTGGCCTGGCCTGGCCTGGCCTGGCCTGGCCTGGCCTGGCCTGGCCTGGCCTGGCCTGGCCTGGCCTGGCCTGGCCTGGCCTGGCCTGGCCTGGCCTGGCCTGGCCTGGCCTGGCCTGGCCTGGCCTGGCCTGGCCTGGCCTGGCCTGGCCTGGCCTGGCCTGGCCTGGCCTGGCCTGGCCTGGCCTGGCCTGGCCTGGCCTGGCCTGGCCTGGCCTGGCCTGGCCTGGCCTGGCCTGGCCTGGCCTGGCCTGGCCTGGCCCTGGCCTGGCCTGGCCTGGCCTGGCCTGGCCTGGCCTGGCCTGGCCTGGCCTGGCCTGGCCTGGCCTGGCCTGGCCTGGCCTGGCCTGGCCTGGCCTGGCCTGGCCTGGCCTGGCCTGGCCTGGCCTGGCCTGGCCTGGCCTGGCCTGGCCTGGCCTGGCCTGGCCTGGCCTGGCCTGGCCTGGCCTGGCCTGGCCTGGCCTGGCCTGGCCTGGCCTGGCCTGGCCTGGCCTGGCCTGGCCTGGCCTGGCCTGGCCTGGCCTGGCCTGGCCTGGCCTGGCCTGGCCTGGCCTGGCCTGGCCTGGCCTGGCCTGGCCTGGCCTGGCCTGGCCTGGCCTGGCCTGGCCTGGCCTGGCCTGGCCTGGCCTGGCCTGGCCTGGCCTGGCCTGGCCTGGCCTGGCCTGGCCTGGCCTGGCCTGGCCTGGCCTGGCCTGGCCTGGCCTGGCCTGGCCTGGCCTGGCCTGGCCCTGGCCTGGCCTGGCCTGGCCTGGCCTGGCCTGGCCTGGCCTGGCCTGGCCTGGCCTGGCCTGGCCTGGCCTGGCCTGGCCTGGCCTGGCCTGGCCTGGCCTGGCCTGGCCTGGCCTGGCCTGGCCTGGCCTGGCCTGGCCTGGCCTGGCCTGGCCTGGCCTGGCCTGGCCTGGCCTGGCCTGGCCTGGCCTGGCCTGGCCTGGCCTGGCCTGGCCTGGCCTGGCCTGGCCTGGCCTGGCCTGGCCTGGCCTGGCCTGGCCTGGCCTGGCCTGGCCTGGCCTGGCCTGGCCTGGCCTGGCCTGGCCTGGCCTGGCCTGGCCTGGCCTGGCCTGGCCTGGCCTGGCCTGGCCTGGCCTGGCCTGGCCTGGCCTGGCCTGGCCTGGCCTGGCCTGGCCTGGCCTGGCCTGGCCTGGCCTGGCCTGGCCTGGCCTGGCCTGGCCTGGCCTGGCCTGGCCTGGCCTGGCCTGGCCTGGCCTGGCCTGGCCTGGCCTGGCCTGGCCTGGCCTGGCCTGGCCTGGCCTGGCCTGGCCTGGCCTGGCCTGGCCTGGCCTGGCCTGGCCTGGCCTGGCCTGGCCTGGCCTGGCCTGGCCTGGCCTGGCCTGGCCTGGCCTGGCCTGGCCTGGCCTGGCCTGGCCTGGCCTGGCCTGGCCTGGCCTGGCCTGGCCTGGCCTGGCCTGGCCTGGCCTGGCCTGGCCTGGCCTGGCCTGGCCTGGCCTGGCCTGGCCTGGCCTGGCCTGGCCTGGCCTGGCCTGGCCTGGCCTGGCCTGGCCTGGCCTGGCCTGGCCTGGCCTGGCCTGGCCTGGCCTGGCCTGGCCTGGCCTGGCCTGGCCTGGCCTGGCCTGGCCTGGCCTGGCCTGGCCTGGCCTGGCCTGGCCTGGCCTGGCCTGGCCTGGCCTGGCCTGGCCTGGCCTGGCCTGGCCTGGCCTGGCCTGGCCTGGCCTGGCCTGGCCTGGCCTGGCCTGGCCTGGCCTGGCCTGGCCTGGCCTGGCCTGGCCTGGCCTGGCCTGGCCTGGCCTGGCCTGGCCTGGCCTGGCCTGGCCTGGCCTGGCCTGGCCTGGCCTGGCCTGGCCTGGCCTGGCCTGGCCTGGCCTGGCCTGGCCTGGCCTGGCCTGGCCTGGCCTGGCCTGGCCTGGCCTGGCCTGGCCTGGCCTGGCCTGGCCTGGCCTGGCCTGGCCTGGCCTGGCCCTGGCCTGGCCGAAAATATCAGAACTAATTTACAATAAAGTGACCCAACCAATAATAACTTACGCCGCTAATATATGGGGCCACGTAGCATCCAAAACAACCGTCAAAAATAAATTAATCAGTTTACAACGTAACTTCGCGATTAAAGCCATCCGTGGGTTCCGAACCATTTCCGCCAACGCCGCCATTGCCCTAGCTCGTTTCACACCCTTAGATCTCAAAGTTTTAGAAGCCCACGAAATAGACACAACCCGTATAAATCGCAGTTCAAATAGAATTCCAAATGACATCCCCCTAGAAAAACCGGCAACCTTTTCGGACTTACTTCACCCAGCTGAACGTATTTCAATCCACACACTCACACCTGATACATACAATCAAATCAATCACTCCGGGTTTCACCACATTTACACGGACGGTAGCAAACACGAGAACGGCTCTACGGGCGCTTCTTATGTGGTATACCGCCCCCTTGAACGCACACACAAACACGTACACACCAAACTCGTCAAACTTCACCACACCAGCTCTGTATTTCAAGCAGAGCTTGTCGCTATCAAACACGCATGCACATATATACAAAACAAAAACATCACCCACGCTATTATCCACACAGACTCACTCTCCTCAATCTCTGCCCTCAAACAGAGCAACAATACACACCCCATCGTGACAGACATACACAAAACACTTCACCAAATCCAGTACACTCACACCAACAACAATATACTATTCAGCTGGGTGAAGGGGCACTCGGGCGTGGAAGGGAATGAAGCAGCAGATATAGCCGCTAATAAGGCTGCAAACGCTCATAAAGCACCAGACTTCATTTCTTGCCCCATTTCTTACATCAAGAAACAGATCAAAAACGAAACATCATTAACTTCCCAAACCAGATATTCCAACGAAAATAAAGGGTCCCACACTAAAAACATATTCCCTCTTCTCTCCGACATAGATAACTTCTTTAAAGCCATTCCCGTTTCGTTCCAAATGACGCAATTTCTAACAGCCCACTCTTATGCAAAACATTATTTACACCGATTTCACATCTCCGACGATCCCTTCTGTCCTTGCGATAATAACTCCAATCAAACCCTCGATCATCTCACAAGACACTGCCCTCGCTTCACCCTCGCACGACACGCCCACGAAGAGCTCTGCCGGTACGCGGACACCGAACCTTACGATATACCCCAAATAATAAAAAAGCACGATACCTCTAAATCATTTGAAAATTTCGTG